AAAAAGGGCGGACTTATCTGCGGGATTTTAGGGTATTTGCTTTTGAATAAGTCAATCTTCAAAACAGAGCTAATTGGAGGGTCCTAACAAGTTATTATCGAAACAGCAGTTCATATGTTCAACCAGGAATCATCCTCTTTGAATCCTCGCCCACTATCATATACAAAGGAGTGGTCTTATGAGGAAAATACAGTATCGGGGAAGAGTTTAAAAGCGGATTTCCAGGAAAAAAATGACCTGCCACAGCAGCAGTCCAATCAGGGTCATAAGAGTTATTTAAAAAAAAACTATATACTTCTGAGTATAAATGTTTGTAATTTTAATTGAAAAAACTCTATTGAATTCCAAAAAATTGACCCACATTTCTTGGCAGTGTCGATCGTTTCAAGACCGCACTCACAGATTCGTCATCTTGATAACGTGACGACAGTGGAGCGCTCTTCAACAGATTTTCGTATATTGCTATAAAATCTTCGCTCACAAGACCAGCCTTACCTTAATCGTCGGAGCGATTTTAGTCGTTGTTACCGTTGTTGTTACCGCAGGCGGCAGGTCGTAATTACGGATCAAACGCGGTTCTTCGTCTGCTGCACGACGATAGGAAAGTTCTAAAAAGTTCGGTTGCAACGCATGAGTAGGGTGGGATTTTAGTAACTACCTCTCTTATCTTCTTCTTTTTTCGCACGTTCCACTTCTGGTACGAAATCGGTCAACTTTCCTGGTCCAGTCTTTTCATGCATCGAGGTTACCCTGAATATTTATACTTGTGCAAAGTCGCTATATAGCTTGCGTACTCTCGTTAAATAATAACTTGTGCAGAAAATCCTCCGAAAATGCTAATTTTACCTATAGTCCGGTGTTCCACCATTGGTTTGGCTTCGGTATTCTGAGCGAAGTGTTGAGCTTTCATAGTATGAACGAGCTGGTGAGCTTGCTTTTGAGCGTATACCTGAAATTTTGCAAAACCTTGACGACGAACAATCTCCTTTCCCCCTCCTTGTTTTTGTTCTTCAAGATCTTCATAGAGTTCTATAAATTCTCTATTGATTCACCAAATAGGCGACTGAGAGGCGGGGTTTCGTGACCTAGTTAAGGCTAGAGGTGATCAGAGAGCATGCACGCGGGAAGACGCAGATGCGTCGCGTTGCGAGCGGTCGCCCTTCCAGCCGCTTATACAGTATGATTCAGTTCCTACTGAGCGGAAAATGGCATGGCGGGAATCCGCCTCGCAGCTCGCCTCTACAGTATGTCGCGCCAAGAACCCATCTCTGCGTCTCTT